CCACTCGCAGCTCGGGCCCCGCGCGCTGATAAAGGCCGCAGGGCCTCAACTCCCACCAGACAGCACGAAAAGCAGCTGCAGCCTCCTGGCAAGCAGCGTACGACAAAACCAAATGAAACGGGGACCTTTCTCCCTCAACTACGGGCTAGAGACACATTGTCGGCTTCAGGCGAGCCCTCAGTCGCCCCTTCTTTGCAATGGGAAGCCAAAGCAGGGATTTTTGTGACCGACATTCCCCACCTGCGAGCTCCGGCACAGCAGATGGCTGTGGATGTGCCCTGGCAGCCACGCGGCAAGCAAGGAGTCAGGATAAAGACTGAGAAGCTTTTCCAGAAAACAGCTATTATAAGTTTGTCACTGGTGCCAAGCGACAAGAGGGAAATGTGTTTTAATAGATTGACTGAATACACGTTTATCTCGAGGAGACAGCCACTTCGATCCTTTGAGCACGGTGGTGTCAGAGGGGCTTTAATAGCTCCGAGCGAGCGCTGCAATAGCTTGGATAAATAATCTGAATTTTATTACTTTCCAAGAATGATTTCTGAGGGAGTTAGATAGTGTCCTGGGAAACGCTGGAACCTGGTTTTGTTCATGAGCCAGACTGTGCAGAATTTGGTCCTCTTGGCACCATCCCGCATAGACGGGACTTCACGAGGGCAGCGGAAGCAGGATAAAGCTGAGACTGCTGGGGACCAGTCCTCTTAAATTGCATTGCTTCACCCACGGTGTATTTTAAGTTATGCCAACGATGTGAGGGTAAACATGTCTCTTTTTATAGCATTTTAGTACATCTAAATATACCCCTGGACTGTATTTACAGGCAGCCACTGTGAGCCAGAGAACTGAAAGTCAGAGCTGCCACAGACTCCTCATTCACAGCTCCCATTTCGGTCTACATGACACAGCAAGGGAGTTGAAAGCTTTTTATTTGACAGGCTGAATGACAGAAGCCAGGAACATTTCACCCCACTTCTGACCTCTGGTTTGGCCCAAGACCAGAACACAATGCTGGAGCAACAGAAGGAATGAGACTACGTGATAACTAGCTGATTAATTCACACTCACCCCCTGATAAATGTGAAGAACTTGGAGATAGGAACCCCACAGCAGCACAGCTCACACAGCACCGTCCCTGGTGGGAGGGTTCCTTTATTTTCTTTCTTCACCGGCACTTTGTGTCCCACTGAACATTGCAAAATCACCACAAAACCGAAAGGCTCCAGCGCTCCCTCTGCTCCCTGGCACAGCATCCCCGGCCTTTACCAGTGAGCGGATGGTCCCCGAGGCCTGAGCTCTGAGCTGTGACCAGGAATGTGGTGGGGTGATAATGCCAAATCAATACTAGTAGTGAAGCAGTAGGGCCATTTCTGAGCGCCCCAGAGCTCTGTGACTACGAGGGACACTGGAGATGCCCATTTGAAAGTAAAAATCTTTACAAGAATACATGTGTGAGGTTTTGGCACAGGCAGGTCATAAGCAACGCTGCCCACAGATGCTCTGGGCTGATCAAGGACACAGGGCAGCTTCCTTGGCCAGCAGAATAAAGATAAACTAAAGGTTCTCACCTGCCTCTGGTCAGGATGGCAACCACACTGAATTTGGGAAAAGAAAAGGCAGAGATTCATTTCTTGGGGGAGATCAATAGTTTATTAACTTAAAGGTCAGTTCCCCAAAGCTCCATCTTTGCTTGGTCTGGGGCTACTCGCATTGGGCCCGATGGCAACTTTGTGTGTCCCCTCCTCGCGCGGTGGCGTGAGCTCCCGCGGGCACGGAACGTCACAGCCAAAAGCAAGAGGGATTATCCCGGCTCCCTAAGGAACTGGCGACAGTCTGTACTGAGAATTTCATTGGCAAAATGTTTAGCTTGGTAAAACTATTAACAATGAAAATCAGAACATGCAGCATAGGAAGTAATTGTTTACATACGTCTCATGAAAAGAGCATCCCTGTAAGGTTGGAGAGAGGCTGCAAAGAGAAGGAGGATGTAAAACACTAAAGATTCCCCACTCCCTATACAAAAAAATAATCTACGGAGAAAAACAAGGACTGTATAAGTTATTTTTTTAAAAAAAATCTGTAAAACAACATAGTCAAGGATATTTTAAACACAATTATATAAACACCACATGACGTATTAAGAGAGAGCATGAAAAAGTTTGGTTTTTGGGAGGGTTTTGTAGAATTTAGAGTTTCCTGGCCGGATCTCTGGAATATCTGCTTTTGGAAACAGATCAGTGTGAAGGAAAATCACTGCCATGAATGGGTGTACTTTCTGAGAGGTGGGTATACCCAGCAAAAATATGGAAAAGATCATAACGCAAAAGGCTGGGAGAGATGATGGGGAAACCCCACAGGGCTCCACAGGCACCGGAGTTTTGCCCACATGCACCCTCACGCTGAGCGAAGCCCCGACGGCCTCGCTGGGCTGACAGCCTGCGAGTCACCCCGCTCCCTGCAAAGTCACCCAGAGCAGCTCTCGCTTTGGTCCTCAAACCTCCAGTTATTGCCCTGTTCGTGGCCAGAAAGAAACAACGAGTGAGTGAATCCGAAAAGGGGGGCCAGAGGTGGCTTCTGGCACACAGCCCAATTCATCGTTTTGCGTATGCACAGGGCACGGCGCCGGCTGGTTGCAATGCGGATTGGTATCGGAAAAGGCTACCGAGAGCGGAGCCAGAGAGGCTCTTCCTCCACGGACGTGCGACGTCTTCAGTCCTTCGCAGCGTGGGCTCCTGCCAGCCTCTCGGAACGGGTAAAACCGCAGGAATTCTGGCC